AGCCCATTGTGCAGTGTCACTGTGCAGGTGAGGCTGGCACAGCCCATCCCCTGGGCAGTGTCACTGTGCAGGTGAGGCTGGCACAGCCCATTGTGCAGTGTCACTGCAGGTGAGGCTGGCACAGCCCATTGTGCAGTGTCACTGTGCAGGTGAGGCTGGCACAGCCCATCCCCTGGGCAGTGTCACCATGGAGCTGAAGGTGACATGGCACAGCCCCTCAGCCCTGGCACAGCCCCTCATCCTGGACGTGCCATGGCTCCACCTTGCAGTGCTCACCTTGCAGTGCTCACCTTGCAGTGCTCACCTTGCAGTGCTCACCTTGCAGTGGTGCCCACATTCCCTCCCCACCCATTTTTATCCCTTCCAAGCAGCCCAGCATGGCTGGGATGGGCAGTGTGTGACCGTCCCCTCTCCACAGCGGCTCCTGGGTGCAGGCCCTGTCTCAGGGCTGTGGGGGATGAGTCCTGGGCCACAGAGGAGCCCTGGATTCGGGAGCCACCCTCGGCTGCAGCCGCTCAGCCCCAAGGGCTGTAGGGACTCACTGGGATCCAGGCCAGAACTGGCTCACAAGGATTTAAGCAGGTTTTGGGGTGCTCCTGCTCAGGCACAGGGTGGGAGGCTGGGGGATGTGTCCCCCTGCCCTGGGGTGTTGCTGTGACCCCATCACTCCCCTGGCTGTCCCCACTCTTCATTCCCCACTCACCTCCCCGGCGCGCTCCTGTTCCCCACGGGAAGGCCCAGCTCCGCTCCCGCTGCCATCAGCCCCTCCGGCTCTGGGGTCCCTCCGCTCCCCCAGGGGGATCCCATCCCCTGGGCCCCCCCAGAGGAGGGAGGAGCGTGGTTTGCAGGGATGGACGGGGTTATCCGAGGGCTCCATCAGCGCGGCTCGGACGCAGGACAGGCGAGGAGCCGGCGCCGCGCTCCGAGCCCATTTCACGGGCCCTGAGGAGGAATTTGCCTCCCAGCCAGCAAAGCAACACACGGGCTTTATTCCCAGGCCTAATCAGTGGGATGCAGAGAGGCCAGAGAGCTATTAAATTTCAATGCTTGGTTGGTTTGCTGCAAGGGGAGGTGGCCCATTGTGGCCAGCGAGGGCTGGCACGGGATGCGGGAAGGGAACTGGCATCGGCAGTGGGCCTGTCCTCCTCTCTCTGCCACCCTCTTTTCTCTCACAGACACACAACAGGATTAGAGCCACGACCCCGAGACAAGGAGCTTTTCTTCCCTTGACAAGCTCCGGCTGCCTGAAACAAAATATCCGGAGTCAGGATTCATTGGGTGAGTCCTGATTCACCAAACGAGGCCAAATTCACCAGCCCAGGGTCCCCATGCACCGAGCAAGAGCCCACCTTCATCAGCCAGGGGCCCACCTTCATCAGCCAGGAGCCCACATTCATCAGCCAGGAGCCCACCTTCATCAGCCAGGAGCCCACATTCATCAGCCAGGGACCCAAATTCATCAGCCAGGGACCCAAATTCATGGTCTGAGCCCACATTCATCAGCCAGGAGCCCACCTTCATCAGCCAGGAGCCCATGTTCATCAGCCAGGAGCCCACATTCATCAGCCAGGAGCCCAAATTCATCAGCCAGGAGCCCACCTTCATCAGCCAGGGGCCCACATTCATGCTCTGAGCCCACATTCATGCTCTGAGCCCACATTCATGCTCTGAGCCCACATGCAGCAGCTGAGGGTCCTGATCCATGGCTGAGTCCTGATTCCACGTTTAGAAGTCCCAACTCTCCAAGCAAACCTTGATTCACCGGCCCGGTGTCGCGATCCAGCGGCCGAGCGCTGCTCAGGAGCAGGAAGGGCTGGAGAAGGAGGTGGAGGCAGCTCAGGGGTTCCTGTCAGCCCCCACACACCCCAAACTCTGCTCAGAACCTTCGCTGCTGCTCCTTTGGGATTCCAGGTTGGTTTGTCCCTCCCTGAGTGCCAGGAGCTGGCAGTGCCATGTCTGTCCCTTGTCCCCTTCTGGACACCTCTGGGGACACTTCCTTGCCTGAGGGCTGGCCCCACAGCCTTTCCCTCGGAGGAATATTTGGAGGATGAGGCAGGCTGTGTCCCTTCCCTTGCTTGGGGCTTCTGTCCCATCCTCCAGCACGGCACAGCCTGGCTCCGTTCATGCACGGCTCCATCCTGGATGGATCCCACCCCTGCTGTCCCACCTCCAGCTCCCAGGGCAAGGAGGCTCAGCCTTGAGGAACCATTCCCAAACCCTGGACCATCCCTGGGAGCATCCCTGGGAGTGCTGTGTGGTGAGTGCTGGATGCTTCAGTGCGGTTTGGGAGGGGACGTGTCCTGCAGGTCACTGTGGGAGCACCTCTGGTGACATCCCGGTGTTCCCACCAGCGCTGGGCTCTCTCCTGGCCGGGAGGAGCCCCAGACTGGTATTTGTGGAGCCAGCAGGATCCCAGTGGTTAGTGCTGGGAAATACCAATTACCCCATTGCCTGGAACAGGGAGCGATTCCAGAATTAAACTGACTCGGCGTTGGGTTGAAAGGGAGGAAAAAAAGCAAAATCCTCTTGACTTGGTGGACTGGAAAATGCCCAGTGTGGGAACGAGGAGCTGGGACGGCTCCTCCTCGTCACTGCCACCACTGGGCAAACTGGGGGCACTGGGACAGGGACAGAGGCAGCAGCAGAGACTGGTTTGGAACAGAAAAGCGGGAGGAAAGCTGGCCAAGGCTGAGCGTGGAGCAGCCAAGCTCACACCCCTCATGCAGGGATGTGGGAGAAAAGGGAAAAATAAAGACGAGGGACGCCGAGAGGTTTGGAGAAGCCAGAAGCAGGATCTGGTGGGAGGAAGGTTTAAAAGTGAAAGGAGTTAAGGAAACTGGCGTGACTTCAAAGGAACGCTGCAAGCAGCACACTCAGGAGCCATCCCAATAGGAAACGTAGCAGGAACCAGGCTGGCTGCATCACAAGCTCCTCACTGACCTCAGGCACTGAAAAAAGGTTTATGGGAAGTGGGAACTAGGACAAATTACTAAGGACAGTTAGGAGGGGAGCACAAGCATGTGGGGAGACATCAGAAAGGCCAAATTGAGATGGAAATGGGGAGGAATCATTAAGGAGAAGAAGAAAAGGCTCCATCAGCAGGAGGAGAATGAGCAAGGGAGCGTTGGTCTGGACCCAGGGAAGGAGGCTGGGAATTCAACAGGATCACTGGCTTGTTTTTAAACCTTTTAAAACCCCCAGCCTTCAGAGGGGCCAAGGGCCAGCAGATGCCCACCACAATAATGAGGTGCTGTGCTGCCACCGAGAGAGAGAGCGGTGACAGCAGAAATGGGAACATTAAACAGCACACCCAGACTGCTCCCAACTCTCAGAACCTCATCCTGGGCTGCTCAGAAAACCAGTGAAAAGCACCTGAGAGACGTTTGTAAAAACCAGTGAAAAGCACCTGAGAGATGTTTGGTAAAAACCAGAGAGATGTTTGGTAAAAATCAGTGACAAGCACCTGAGAGATGTTTGTAAAAACCAGTGAAAAGCACCTCAGAGACGTTTGTAAAAACCTGAGAGATGTTTGGTAAAACCAGTGAAAAGCACCTGGGAGATGTTTGGTAAAAACCTGAGAGATGTTTGGTAAAAAACAGTGAAAAGCACCTGAGAGATGTTTGTAAAAACCTGAGAGATGTTTGGTAGAAATCAGTGACAAGCACCTGAGAGATGTTTGTAAAAACCAGTGAAAAGCACCTGAGAGATGTTTGTAAAAACCAGTGAAAAGCACCTGAGAGATGTTTGGTAAAAACCTGAGAGATGTTTGGTAAAAATCAGTGACAAGCACCTGAGAGATGTTTGTAAAAACCTGAGAGATGTTTGGTACAAACCTGAGAGATGTTTGGTAAAAACCAGTGAAAAGCACCTGGGAGATGTTTGGTAAAAACCTGAGAAATGTTTGGTAAAAATCAGTGAAAAGCACCTGAGAGATGTTTGGTAAAAACCTGAGAGATGTTTGGTAGAACCAGTGAAAAGCACCTGAGAAATGTTTGTAAAAACCAGTGAAAAGCACCTCAGAGATGTTTGTAAAAACCTGAGAGATGTTTGGTAGAAATCAGTGAAAAGCACCTCAGAGATGTTTGGTAGAACCAGTGAAAAGCACCTGAGAAATGTTTGGTAAAAACCTGAGAGATGTTTGGTAAAAATCAGTGAAAAGCACCTCAGAGACGTTTGTAAAAACCAGTGAAAGGCACCTGAGAGATGTTTGGTAGAACCAGTGAAAAACACCTGGGAGATGTTTGGTAAAAACCTGAGAAATGTTTGGTAAAAATCAGTGAAAAGCACCTGGGAGATGTTTGGTAAAGACCTGGGAGATGTTTGGTAAAAAACAGTGAAAAGCACCTGAGAGATGTTTGGTTGAAACCTGAGAGATGTTTGGTAGAACCAGTGAAAAGCACCTGAGAGATGTTTGGTAGAAATCAGTGAAAAGCACCTCAGAGATGTTTGGTAGAACCAGTGAAAAGCACCTGAGAAATGTTTGGTAAAACCTGAGAGATGTTTGGTAAAAAACAGTGAAAAGCACCTCAGAGATGTTTGTAAAAACCTGAGAGATGTTTGGTAAAAACCAGTGAAAAGCACCTGAGAGATGTTTGGTAAAAATCAGTGACAAGCACCTGAGAGATGTTTGTAAAAACCAGTGAAAGGCACCTGAGAGATGTTTGGTAGAACCAGTGAAAAACACCTGAGAGATGTTTGGTAAAAATCAGTGAAAATCACCTGGGAGATGTTTGGTAGAAACCTGAGAAATGTTTGGTAAAAATCAGTGAAAAGCACCTGAGAGATGTTTGGTAAAGACCTGGGAGATGTTTGGTAGCACAAGGTCTGGCTGAGCATTTACAGGAGCTGGTTCAGTTTGGGGCACGCCATGCAAGGAAAGATGGAAGCCCCAGGAGAAGAAGCAAGAAGAGAGATCCAGGAAGGAGCGGTGGGGAGAACTGGAGACCCAGGGAGACACAAGAACTGCAGGAGCAGCCAGGAAAGGTTGGGCTCTGCTCCCAGGGAACAGGGACAGGACAAGGGAGAACAGCCTCAGCTTGGTTCAGGGTGGATATTGGGAAAATCCCACCACGGAAGGGCTGCCCAGCCCTGGCACAGCTGCTCAGAGAAGGATCCCTGGAAGTGCCCAAGGACAGCTTGGATGGGGCTTGGAGCACCCTGGGATAATGGAAGGTGTCCCTGGAATGGGATGAACTTTAAGGTCCCTTCCCACCCAACCTGCTCCAGAGCTCAGCGATTCAATCTGCGAATGCAACGTGCGTGAAAGGAACCTGGAGCCATCCTGCAGGAGCACCCAGGAGTCTCCATCACCTTCTGCTGGGAGCCACAAAAATGCGGCGTGAAAACGCAGCTCTGGTGTGAGAGCTGAGAATCTCACACGGAGGCAAGAGACGGCAGATGGGACAATCTGCGGGGCTGAGGAGCACGGAGGAGCAGTGAGACAACACTGGCTGCCACGGCAGGCAAGACCACTCAAACTCGCCGGGGTTCTGTGGGAAAAGAGGAGATTTCAGGAAGGATTTGGGAGGAAATGCAGAGATTTTCTTGGGTAGCTTCCAAACTGCAGCTGTGTGTGGTGATCCAGGGCTGGGATCCAGGGCTGGGGGAGAAGGGGATCTCTGGATGCTGAATGCTGCACCTGGGATGGGTGGGAAGAGGAGAGGGAAGGGAAAAAGGAGCTGTGGAGGAGCTCTGTGAGCAAGAGCTGGGAGGGGGAGATGGGAGGGCTGCAAAGCCTGGCCAGAGGGGAGAGGGGAAAAGCAGGATGGGGCAAAATGAGGAGAAAGGGAGTGAGGAGAGTGAGGGGTGAGGATCTGGCAGAGGGCAGTGGCTTTAGGGAGCCCAACACCGGGATCTGGGAGGGATCTGGGAGAGGGGACAGTGCTTTCCCTGCTGGCTTTGATCCCCCTTGGCTCTCAGCCATCGTCAGGACCTCACTGGTTCCTTGCCAAGACAACTCACTGCCAGGTTCCTGCTGGATTCAGCACCTTCCCCAGGGATTCCCCAGCCTGGAGATCCCTCACAGGGATCCAGTGGCATTTTGCTTTGAAACGACGAAATTAATTTTAAAGGTGAGCTGAAAACGGAATCCAATCCGGTTTGTTTTCCTCCCTGCTTTAGGAAGGCAGCGAGTTTTTCTCCATAGCCACGAGCAGTGACGGATAAAGGCAGCCAGGGATGCCTGGGTGACACGGGGATATGGAGGGGGATAAAGGGGGGGCTGGCAAGAAACGCTGGCCGAGCCTTGCTGGGAACAGGTTGGACAAACATCTGCCAGGGAAGGTTGAAGCTGAGCGGATTTTGCTGGCGGCAGGTGTTGCTTCATCTGAGCGACCTCTCCAGCTCCCTCCGGCCTCATGCTCGGTGATCCCGCTTTCCTTCCATCAGAAATGTCAGCCCAGCTCTTCCCTCCCTCTGCCAGAGCAGCTTTAGCAGCTCAGTCCTCATTTAGCAGCTCAGTCCTCGTCATCTTTTCCAACGTTTTCACCAGAGATACATTTGTTTATACGGATATAAGCAAGCAAAGGTTAAGATTTAAAATGGGGGGAAATAAACATCAATTTTCTCTATTTTTCTTGTGTTTTCCAGTTGTATCAGTCTCCCATGAAATCTTCCAGCACAAGGAATACCCCGAGGTGAGAATAACTCTGTCCTGAAGATCAGGCAAAGAGTAGAAGGATGAGGTAGAGGAGGGAGACAGGAGCAGATGCTGTTCTGTGGTTTCGGAGTCTTTTAAAGGCAGCTCAGGTGTCCTGGCCATTTCACCACGCCCTCAGGATCTAAACCCACGTTTATTTTCCTTGTCCCATCCTTTGTGCTTTGTCTGCAGCCCAACCCAAATCATTCCACGATCTGCAGCCTTGGAACCGCAGACCAGAATGTTTGGAAATACCTGGAGGATTTGGCTGGGAGGATTTTCCCAACCCTGCCAAGCTAAAGGAGAGGAGAAGGTGCCAAAGAGACTGCATTTCCCTGGGTTTTCCTAGAGAAAAGGGCTGTGGGAAGGGAGGAGGGCTGGAGACAGCGGGAACATCCCTGCCTGTCCCACGGGCAGGGACCTCTCGCCTCAGCAATTCTTTTCAAACTCTGGCTCTTGCATTTCTTCAGAGAAATTCAGCACCTGGTTGATCCATTGTTCCTTCCAGCTGCTCTTTGCTGTCAGGGCGGGCATTGAGGAGGTGGAATTTATCCCAGAACGTGTCCCATTCTTTTCTTCCCTGGCCATTGACTCGGCCAACATCTGCTCCCGTTAACCCTCGCTGGCCCCACAGCTCTGGGGATCCTTTATGACTCCAGAGCTCTTGGCATTGTGTCAGCAACAGCCGAGGTGTCCCGAGAGGAGAAAATCCTCCTTCTGCTGGGCTGGAATGGGATTTGTGCTCTAAAACCCACCCTGGATAGCTCAGCAATCAGCAAGGAGGTAAATCAAAGTGTTTTCTCCCTAAAAATCATTTCCCATACACTCACATGATGAAACCTGGTGGGTTCAGCTCCCCTTCCCTGCCAAAACACTTCCCTTCAGTTCCCTTCCCCTTCCCACCCCAAACACTGCAAGATTAATTGCTTTTATTTGTTCTGCTGCGTTGTTTTCCTACTTTTGGGCACAAATTGCTTTTCAGCCGCTGCTCTGCCATAGGGGCTTCATTGGAAGCAGCGTGGATACCTATGGATCCCATATGGCTCCTCTGGGAAACAGCTCCATGATAAAGACTGGAAATAGGCACGGAGCAGATGGGAGGGAAGGGGCACCGCTTTTAACAGCAAAATCCTCACTGCCTTCGCACGGTAACAAGTGCTGGGATGTGGGAAGGAATATATTAGGAAGGACAAGAGGTGTTTGGAGATGCAGCTGCACTTTGCATGCGCTCCTGGTCCCCTTCCCACCACGGGGAGAGAAAGAGAGGCTTTTCCCTTTCATTTACACGGATTTGGGGCTTTGGGGCTCCCAAAGGAGCCGGGAGGGAAGCGCCACAGGGAGGGAACGGTGACACTGCGGACAGAAGGTGTCAGAACAGCAGCTCCGCTCACACACAGGTGGGAACACCCCCAAAGCTCCTCCAGGAGCCCCCCGGGCTTGGGGGGACCCCTGCCCGCAGTGGGCTATGCAGCCAAGCCCTGCAGAGGGGCCAGGACGGAGCCAGGATTTATCCAGGACGGAGCCAGGACGGAGCCAGGATTGAGCCAGGATTTACCCAGGACGGAGCCCAGATGGAGCCAGGATTTATCCAGGATGGAGCCAGGACGGAGCCAGGATTGAGCCAGGATTTAGCCAGGACAGAGCCAGGATTTAGCCAGGACAGAGCCAGGACGGAGCCAGGATTTACCCAGGACGGAGCCAGGATTGAGCCAGGATTTACCCAGGAATTACCCAGGATGGAGCCAGGATGGAGCCAGGATTTACCCAGAATTTACCCAGGATTTACCCAGGACGGAGCCAGGATTGAGCCAGGATTTACCCAGGAATTACCCAGGATGGAGCCAGGATGGAGCCAGGATTTACCCAGAATTTACCCAGGACGGAGTCAGGACGGAGCCAGGATGGAGCCAGGATTTACCCAGGACGGAGCCAGGATTTACCCAGGATTTACCCAGGACGGAGCCAGGATTTACCCAGGACAGAGCCAGGACGGAGCCAGGCTCTCTCCAGGGCTGCTGCAGGAATTCTGGAGCAGCAGGGCCTGGTTCCTGCACTCCCCTGCACCAGAGCCGGGCTCCCAGCTCCCTGAAACAGCCACAACAAAAGCAAAACCGTTTGGTTTTTAAAGAAACCTTCATCTCCAGCTTTCCCAGCACTGAAGGCATCAAAGGCAGAGAAGAGAGGCAGCTCCTTTCAGCAGGGAAGGGCCGGCACGAGCGGCTCCCGGGGCACACCAGGGATCTCGGGGCTCCCAGGGGGTCCTGAGCAGGGCTGGAGAGCAGGATGGGGGATTTTAAAGGTAAAACACACACAGACATGGGGAATAAGGGCAGAAGAACGGCCACGGTGCCTCAGCCAAATCCTCACACAGCACATCTTTCCTACGAGAATCATCCTGTGGGGAGGCGAGGCAGCTCTAAAGCAAACACCTCTCGTGTTCCCACAGCCCTTTTCCCAGGAATCTGCGGCTCAGGAGCTTCCCCAGATGGAGACAGCCCTGCTTTCCACAGGCTTCTCCCATGGAATCCTGCTCCCAAACCCACACAGTCCCTCAGCACGGCTGATCTCTGAGGAGCTGAGCCCTGCCAGCGCCTCTGTCCCTCGTTCCGTGCTTTTATCACATCCTGGGATGCCCCCAAATGCTCACAGTGCATCATCCCTGCTTCCAGAACCTTCTTTCCATCTCCCCTGGCACATCCCTGCCTCCAGAACCTTCTCTCCATCTCCCCTGGCACATCCCTGCCTCCAGAACCTTCTCCCCATCTTCCCTGGCACATCCCTGCCTCCAGAACCTTCTCTCCATCTTCCCTGGCACATCCCTGCTTCCAGAACCTTCTCTCCATCTCCCCTGGCACATCCCTGCTTCCAGAACCTTCTCCCCATCTCCCCTTGCACATCCCTGCCTCCAGAACCTTCTCTCCATCTCCCCTGGCACATCCCTGCTTCCAGAACCTTCTCCCCTGGCACATCCCTGCCTCCAGAACCTTCTCTCCATCTCCCCTGGCACATCCCTGCTTCCAGAACCTTCTTTCCATCTCCCCTGGCACATCCCTGCCTCCAGAACCTTCTCTCCTTCTCCCCTGGCACATCCCTGCCTCCAGAACCTTCTCCCCTGGCACATCCCTGCTTCCAGAACCTTCTCTCCATCTCCAGAACATTTCCCCTCAGCAGGGCAATCCCTGCTTCCATGATGAAATTCAAACTGTTACAAAAGGTTTGCTGGAGCAAATGGAAAGGTGAATTAAGTGTCAAAAAACTCAAATTCAGGCTGGAGGCAAAAAGTGACACCAAAGAATGCGGGTTTTGGTGGTTATGGGCTGTGAATTTGCTGTCACTGCAGATCATTTTTACGTGCCCAGTGGATGTTTCTGATAATGAACCAGGAAACAGTGAGAGAGTTACAGACCCCTCCAAATATCCCCGTGTCCCCCAAGTGTCCCAGATGCTTCCCAGACGTGTGAAATCTGCCACAGAAGCGCAGGGGTTTGCAAAAGGGCAGGTGGCACCCTGGGACCTGGGCTCAGTGGGACCGGTGGCACCAGGATCCAGCCTGTCTGCACCTTTATGGACAACAGGGTGAGGAGACAGCCCCGTGAGCTGGGACGGGATGGGGACACAGCCCCGTGAGCTGGGACGGGATGGGGACACAGCCCCGTGAGCTGTGACGGGATGGGGACACAGCCCCGTGAGCTCTGATGGGATGGGGAGACAGCCCCGTGAGCTGGGATGGGGACACAGCTCCATGAACTGTGACGGGATGGGGACACAGCCCCGTGAGCTGGGACGGGATGGGGACACAGCCCCGTGAGCTGGGACGGGATGGGGACACAGCCCCGTGAGCTGTGATGGGATGGGGACACAGCCCCGTGAGCTGGGACGGGATGGGGACACAGCCCCGTGAGCTGGGACGGGATGGGGACACAGCCCCGTGAGCTGGGATGGGATGGGGACACAGCCCCGTGAGCCGTGATGGGATGGGGACACAGCCCCATTAATTATGATGGGATGTGGATCCAGTCCCATTAATTACGATGGGATGTGGATCCAGTTCCATTAATTACAATGGGATGTGGATCCAGTTCCATTAATTATGATGGGATGGGGACCCAGCCCCATTAATTATGATGGGATGTGGATCCAGTTCCATTAATTACAATGGGATGTGGATCCAGTTCCATTAATTATGATGGGATGTGGATCCAGTCCCATTAATTACGATGGGATGGGGATCCAGTCCCATTAATTATGATGGGATGGGGACACAGCCCCATTAATTATGATGGGATGTGGATCCAGTTCCATTAATTATGATGGGATGTGGATCCAGTCCCATTAATTATGATGGGATGGGGACCCAGCCCCATTAATTATGATGGGATGGGGACCCAGCCCCATTAATTATGATGGGATGTGGATCTAGTTCCATTAATTTCAATGGGATGTGGATCCAGTCCCATTAATTATGATGGGATGTGGATCCAGTTCCATTAATTTCGATGGGATGTGGATCCAGTTCCATTAATTACGACGGGATGTGGATCCAGTTCCATTAATTATGATGGGATGTGGATCCAGTTCCATTAATTATGATGGGATGTGGATCCAGTTCCATTAATTACGACGGGATGTGGATCCAGTTCCATTAATTACGACGGGATGTGGATCCAGTTCCATTAATTACTATGGGATGTGGATCCAGTTCCATTAATTATGATGGGATGGGGATCCAGCCCCGTTAATTATGATGGAATGGGGATTCAGCCCTGTCAATTAATGATAGGACATGGATCCAGCTCCCTTAATTATGATGGGACGCGGATCCAATCCCGTTTAACACTTTAATTAACCACACGGGTGCAGATCCAGCCGCTTTAATTGATAGTGGGGTGCGGATCCAGTCCCGTTAACTGGTGCTCCAGCCCCCTTAATGAGCGATCCAGCCCCCTAATTTGTGATCTAAACCTATTAATGAGTGACCCAGCCCCGCTAATTGCCGATCCAGCCCCGCTAATTGTCTATCCAGCCTCGTTAATTGCCGATCCGTCCCCGCTAATTGCGGCTCCCCTCACGCGGCAATGGCGGCTCCGGCACCACCCCGCCCCACCAGCAGGCGGCGCCACCCGCCCGGCGCATGCGCGGCCCAGCGGCGCTTCCCGCCTTGCGNGGAGGTGGCGATGGCCGGTCCCGGAGCTGAGCCGCCTTCGGCCCTTCCCTCGCCCGTTCCCTGCTCCCCGCCGTCCCTCACTCCTCTGGCTTCGGTATCCGCCGCTGAGAAGCGGCCGAACTCCGTTCCCGTGGTGTGTCCGTGCGTGCGTGCTGCCCTGCGGGGAATGAACACAGAACTGGGTGTTAAACCCGCTGGCGGACACTGCTCCGGGCCGGGGAGATGTTCTAGAGATACTTTTCGTTTAAGGCGCTAAATTAATTAATGCAGTTTTTCCAGGGAGGTTTTGTGTTAATGAGGTCACGCTTCACTAAACAGTCCCGCTCTCTGTGAGAGCTGTACAGGTAAAATGTCACTCATGGAATCCCAGAGTAGTTTGGGCTGAAAGGATCCTTGAAGCTGATCCTGTCCGGGGCAGGGACACCTTCCATCTTCCCGGAGTGTTCTCAGCCCCAGTGTCCAGCCTGGCCCTGGGCACTGCCGGGGATCCAGGGGCAGCCCCAGCTGCTCTGGGCACCTGTGCCAGGGCCTGCCCACCCTCACAGGGAACAATTCCTGCCCAATATCCCATCCAGCCCTGCCCTCTGGCACTGGGAAGCCATTCCCTGTGTCCTGTCCCTCCATCCCTTGTCCCCAGTCCCTCTCCAGCTCTCCTGGAGCCCCTTCAGGCCCTGCAAGGGGCTCTGAGCTCTGCCTGGAGCTTCTTCTCTCCAGGGGAACATTCCCAGCTCTCCCAGCCTGGCTCCAGAGCAGAGGGGCTCCAGCCCTGGAGCAGCTTGGCTGTTATCCATCCCTCCATCCTTTCATCCCCCAGCCTTTGCTGGTTCTGGGGATTATCCTTCCCTGGGTGCAGCACCTTGCACTTGGCATTGTTGAACCTCATGAGGTTCCCATGGACCCACTGGATCAACTTCTCCAGGTCCCTGTGGATGGCCCTTCCTTTCCCTCTGGCCACACCACCAACTCGGTGTCATCAGTAATTATTAATAAATTATCTGTGTGCTGCATGTTACTCCATGTTTTTCCTGAGAGTTACGAGCTTAGATAATAAAAGCGACTTTGGGGTGATAATTTGTTTTATAAGTCTGAGTTTCCCCCTTTGTCTCCAGTTTCTCCCCGTGCCCTAATACCAGCTTGTGATGGGAATAGGGGAGGTTTCTCCTTGATCTGGAAGATATTTCTGAGGTCATTCCTTGTCAGGCAGGCTGGAGTGGGGCAGTTCTGGTCTGATGGGGAAACAATACTGAGGAGAATTTGGGATGATGCCCTTGAGGCTCGAAGCAGATCTGGGGGAGGTGTTGGCTGAGGCTGAGGTGGTAGTAAGGGATGGTCTGAGTGTGCAAAGTCCCAAAGCCCTGTGGTTCCTGTGGGTTGATGTTGGGTTTTTGATGCATGTGAAACACTAAGTGAGAAATGCTTGGTGGAGTTTGTCAGCCTGTTCTCTAAGGTGTGTTTGGTGGTGGAGATGTGGGATGAGTGGGAATGTGCTCATCCATGAGCTTGGTTCTGAGGCAAGGAGCTCACTTGATGTGAACAGGAAATTTCACAGAGCAAAACCAAAAGATTTGGCCTCAAGATCCTGGGTTTGGACTTGGCAGCCAGAGCAGGAGCCGACCAAGGCCTCCTCTGTGTGATGAATTCCCTTGGATTGAGCGAGCTCTTCCCATCCCAGCGCACGCTGCAGGTTCCCTTGTCCAGGTGTCACTGCGGTGTGGCTGGCTGCCCAGCGAGTTCCCGGTGCTGCAGCGGGGGGACTGCAGACCCTGCAGTAGTTGGGGTGTGAAATGTGCTTTAGCTGTAATAAATGACGAGTATGTGTGTGTGCGGCCGATCCCTGCGCACAGCCAGTCCCTGGAATGTGCTGGATCCCCAGGCTCGGTGTCCCGCTGTGTGACAGCATCAGCGCTTGGCAGCCCTCTCCTTGCCAGGCCGGGCCCTGCCCCTTTCCCAGCGCTGCTGGGGGGAAGGAGCTGCTGCCAGTGTCACCCTGGGTGTCACACCCACTGCTGCCCCGCAGAGGGGTTTTGGCAGTTCCTAACAAACAGCTGCAGCTTCTGCCTCGTGGCCTGCAGGTACTGAGTGTGAGGGCAGGGCATGGGCAGAGCAGGCTGGGATTCGTGGAGAAGGTTCTGCAGGAAGGCTTTGCCTTCGGGACAGCAAGGTGCCGTGTGCTTGGAGTGACAAATGCCACCGTGCCAGCACAGCCTGTGGGAGCCAGCAGGGAGGGCACACGGGGACTGCTTGGCCTGCTCTTCTCAGGCCTCTGCTGAGGAAGAGGGCAGCTGAAGGAGATGGAGTGGCAGAAGATAAACCCCTGAACGTTTGGGTTTGTGCTGTTTGAGCACAAGTCTCCTCCAGGTCCATCCATGGAGGACATGTCTTGGGGCAGTGTCCCTGTCACTGCAGTGGCCATTGAGGCATAACCCTTCTTTGGGGGCAAGAGCTCCCACTCTGGCTGGGGAAGAGCAGCTTCTCTGCCCTTTGCATTCCCTGCAGTCATGTTCAATATTTGCCGTTCCATTCGCTCCGCTTTAGGCTGTGGGCACCGGGAGTTTGTTCTGATGGATGGCTTGGGAATTGTCTGTGTGGAGATGGCTTGTTGCTGCAAAAGGTTTTTCTGTTCTTGGGAGTAGAAAAACTCCCACTTTGATAAGTTCTTTGTGTTTCCAAGCAGCTCATCTATGATGTGTATTGATTAAAGAAACATCCTGACTAAGATTTTAATGGAAACAAACACATTGATGAGGCTGGGGCTAATAATGAGTGTGCACTGATGAACGGAATTGCTTTCCTGCCTGATCAAAACAAGGTTTATACCTTGTGCTGAGAGCTCTGCTGCACTACAGCATTTTGGTGATAAGGTTTTCTAGCCCAAAGGTGGCATGTTGGAAGTAAACGTGGAAGGGAGGACAGGGAGGGCGGTTTGGGCACAGGAGGAACAGCAGCTCTAGTGGTGCTGACATTTGAAACACACTGGCAGTGCTGGCTGTGGCAGGGGGAGAATGGGCTGGGAATGGAGTAGTGGCTGTTGTTCCCTTGCTGCTGCCTGGAGAAGAAAGATCCCTGTGAATTGGAGGAGAGGGGCACAGAGCTGGGAGGTGGAAACTGCCCAGAACCCCCTGATGGAGTCCAGCACCAGAGGCTCTGGATGTGGCATCACTGGAACACCGTGCTGCACGTCTGTTATTGCCAGGGGAGGGGGTGGGCACAGACGTGGGGGTCCAGCTGGGCTCACAGTTGAGCACAAGGGTTTTTAGCTGGTGGGCATGTGGGGACAGGGTTCAGTGGTGAGCTTGGCAGTGCTGGGTTAGTGGTTGAACTGGTTTAATGGTTGGACTTGATGGGCTCAGAGGGCTTTTCCAACCTTAGCGATGCTGTGCTTCAGATGCCTCCCCGTGGGCTGTGTCTGGAGGACGTGTTGGCTTCCCTTTGTAGACAGGCAGCTGGAACTCTGCTTGTCCACTTCTTCCTCTGAGCAGAACGTGCAGAATTCCTGTAGCTCGAGCCAACATCTTGTCTACCAAGAGCAGTTTGTGCCCTCACCTTATTCTGTTATTTTGCTGCTTCTTTTCCAGGGTAAATTCACACTGCTGCGAGACACACGGACAGATGGCAGCTTCCTGGTGCACCACTTCCTCTCCTTCTACCTCAGAGGTGGGTCAGCAGCAGCACTCTCAGAGGCAGGGACATCTTGGAGGTTCCCTCAGGGTTGCTCCATGAGCAGAGGGAGGTTTTGCAGAGTGTGAGGTATCCTCGGGTAAACCCAAAGCTTTGGGGTTAGGATTTATGGCTCCCAGTCCTGACTTGTTTGTGGGACTCCTCTGTATTCTTGGATACCTCCCATAATTCTGCACCTTGTTTCATCATGGATTGTGGTTATGGTTGTAAATCACCCAGGCTCTGACAGGGAGGTGTTCACTGCAGTTCCCTCCCTGCATCCATTTTTATGATGTAATTACACATATCAGGATCAATTAGCAACAGATAAGCTCAGAGTGAGTCAAGAAGCAAACAGAGCCTGGCAAGGTGTATAATTACTTCTCTGGGAACAGTTTCTCTGTGAGTAACCTCCTGGCCCCTGTGGAGCAGGTGCTGGGCTCAGGGGCTCCTCCAGCTTTCTGCTGGCACAGCCCAGCAACTCTGGTACTGTCGGGCCTGAAAGGGAGCTCAGAGTGCTGGGCAGGGCATGGGATGAGGACATTCTGCCCCCAGAGCTGCTACTGCCTCAACTGGGGCTTTACCCTGCTTGGAAATGTGTCACTTAATGGAGCAGAGGGAAATCCCATGGGAAGTGGGCTGGTAACGGTGTGATGGTTCAGAGAGACCTGCCACGCACTGCCTCGGGCTCTGCTGATGTCCTGTCCTGCAGCAGTGCCCTGGGAGTGCTGTCCAGAGCTGCCTGTGTGCCTGGGAAAAGCCTTCCCTGCCATCTGTGGGGTATTGGTGTGTCTCAGGACAGGTGTGCTGGCTGTCACCTGCCCCTCCAGCCCAGGACCTGGCTGCAGTTATTCCCTGTTTGCACCTTGTCCACTCGCTGCCCAAAACCTCTGGGACATCTGCAGGTTCATCTGGGGGCACTGACTTGTTCTACTTGAAATCCACGTCCAACAAACACTGATAATGTTCATACCCAAACTGTCTTCCAAAATCACATTTTATTTAGGTGTCTGACACAATTCCCTGTTCTGTGTGTTTTTCCAGTCAAGGTCACTTGCCCTGGGAGAGCCAAAATGGGAATTTTTAGCATGTGTGTGGTTTCAGTAGTTCAGTGTCATGGCCGGCCCTTGGCCTCTGTACTGTAACACCAGCAAACACAGCCAGGAGGTCCCAGGCTGGCCTGGCATGAGGCAGAAAAGGGGCCTTACACTTTTTAAAGTCATCTTTTTCCTTCTTTCCCTCTCTTTTTAAACTAACGTTTTCCCTAATGTGGATATCCTCTAGAAAGGTGAAAACTGAAAGCAAAGGAGGATCTGTCTAGACCTGCATCACTTCAAGGTCCTTCCAGACAGACCTGTGGCCTGGCTGCTGTGATTTATGAGCTTTGATAATGTCAGCTGCAAAGTGGAACTGCTAATGTGTGCTTTTGTCCCTCCCCAGCTGGCTGCAAGGTTTGCTTTGTGGCCCTGCTGCAGTCCTTCAGCCACTACAGCATCGTGGCACAGAAACTGGTGAGTCTCTTGGCCTAGGTTCATTATTACAGGTCCAGGTAACCCCACTTCTGTTGGGTGGGAAGGAATGGGAATGGGGAGCAGGAACTGTGTGTGAGGAAATGTTTCCAGGTCCTGGTGGGGACAGTCAGGACTGCTGCTCCTGTGATGGGGGATAAAGAGCACTTTTGGGCAAAAACCTGGAGCCCCACAGGCTCTGCCCTGCCAAGAGCTGGACAGCTGCTTGCTTTGTGTTAGAAATGTTTTCTGGGGCTCAGCGTTCCCCAGACAGGCCCAGAGTGGTAGATGGAGGTTCCTTAATCTCCTGGAGAGGAAAATGCTGTGCTGTCAGTGTTCCCAGGACCCCTGCACACCTGCAGGAGCTCCCAAGGTGACTTTGTCCCCTGTCCTCTGGTTCCTGTGGGGATGGAGGGCTGAGTCACCAGGACACCTGTGTGCCTCGTTTGGCCTCTGGGCTGAGCCATCCCTTTGAGCTCTGTGAGCAGCCACAGGTAAATTCCTAGGGATTTCCTTCCCGTGGTGAGTTGGGCAAGGATTATGTGTACTGTGAAATGAGGAAACAGACAAAGCAGGCAGAGCAATTCTGCGTGTCAGCAAATTATCTGAGCTCCAAACTGCTTCGCTCAGCTCTCTGCACAACACGCCAAGGTGAAATGCTCCAGGTGGGAAGTGCAGGTGACCTTCCAGGGCTGAAGGGATGAGGACTTGCACTGGTCCTCCCTCCTCTGGTTCTGCCGTGAATCCCAGCAGCACTGCTGCTCATGAAGACTCCCCAGTGCTGAGGAGCCGGGTATTGTATTCCCCACTCTAAACACGGTGCTGCTAAACAGCTGTATTTTATTTACTGCTCAGTTTTTACCTTTCGAAAGGAGATGAGTGGCCCGGGCTACATGCAGTGGGCTGAGCAAACACGGTGTTCCCCCACGGAGCTGTAACTCACAGGTGGACACTCAAGGTGTGATTCCCCTGCCGAGCAAACCACCCCCCAGGAGCACTGAGCTGTCCTGGCCTCTGTGGTGCAGAGAGGAGGAAATCAGGGGCTGAGTGGGGCAGGAAATGGGGCACAGCAGCCGGTGTGGGGAGGAAATGCAGCTGTGAAACACAGGATCCTTGCCTGCTCCTGAAGTCAGCGTGTTTCCCAATGCAGAGGTTTCCCGGTGTAATGGGAGCTGCTGCCATCTCCCTGGCTGGGAGGCTGAGGAGGGAGAGAACATGAGGATTAGCTGCAGCGCACGTGCGATGCTAATGGGGGCGATTTGCTGTCTGATACTTGAACAAAAGGTGCCTGCCACAAAGGAGGTGATAAGCGTAGCTCAGAGAAGCGCTGAGCTGCTTTCAGCTCTGAGTCACTCTTGCATTGCAGCTTCATAGGTGTCCCTGTGGTAGTTGCTGTGAATTCCTCCCAGGCTCTGAGGAGCTGGAGGTCGCAACATCAGTTATTTATATCAGAGTTTCCATCACGTCTTCTCTTTGCTTTAGTCCTTCTTTGCACAGATGAACACGTCAGATTCAGAAAAGGTGGTTCTTGGCAGGGTAGTTTCACTCTTGCTTAAGAGTTTGTTACTGTAGATCTTTACTGGAGACCAGGAATGGTGTGGCCACAGGCCCGGGACAGTGCCCATCCCCTGTGCTGGCACTGCTGAGGCACCTCCAGTCCTGGGGGCAGTTTGGCATTCCCCAGGTACAGGACAGAGGTGTCCAGGGAATGGAGCTGGGAAGAGCTGGAGCAGCTGAGGTGGAGCTGGGAAAGGGGCTCAGCCTACAGAAAATGAGGCTGAGGGGGAATTTCTGGCTCTGCACAACTCCCTGCCAGGAGGGGACAGCCGGGGGGGTCGGGTTCTGCTCCCAGGGAACAGGGACCAGACAAGAGGAGGTGATCTCAAGGGTTCACAGGCTGGATATTGGGAAAATTCCTTCACCAAAAAGCCTCTCCAGCCCTGGCCCAGCTGCCCAGGGTTGTGGTGGAGTCCCTATTGCTGGAGGGGTTTAAAAGCGCTATGGTGGTGGCACTTGGGGACATGGTCAGTGGTGGCCTTGGTAGTGCTGGGGGAATGGCTGGACTGGATGGACTCAGAGGACTTTTCCAGCTTCAGTGATTCTGTGACTTTGATCATGCCCTTAGGAAAGCCTGCACTTGGAAGAGCTTCAGAACTGAGCAATGCCCCGGTTTCTGTCGGGAGCAGGGTAGTCCCAGGCCCAGGAGGAGGCTCCTGGGGCAGGGTGGATTGTACAGTGACACTTGTAGCACTGGTGTGTGGTGATAAAGTGAATATTTATACACAGCAAAGTGATGCTGCCAGGGACTTGCTGCTTTCCCAGTGTGCCAGGTGTTACAAGTCCCAAACCACTTCCTTATGTGTTAGCTAAATGCAGGGATGTATCTTTACTTGCAGGAAAAAACTTCCCTGGCTTTTTGTGCCTGTGTCCTCTTTCCCTGAGGACCCACACTTCATTTTAAGGCACCCACAATGTTCCTGGCTCTGACCTTGTAGAGAACATGCAGGGCTGTATCAGGACAAACAGCACCAGGGCACCCTGCCAGGTTGGTGTTCCCTCCCTCACTTGTACAAAGTTTGTTTTGTTTTACAGGGAAACCAGATTTGTCCCCATTTGATGCCCATCTCCTGTCCCCTGCTCTGAGCTCACCGCCTGGTGGATGTGGCCTGGCCTGATTACTGATGGCCACACTTTGTCCCACAGCTGTGTTTGCTGATGGAGCTCATTCCCCTTGCTTTGCACACTCCATTCCTTCTCCTGTCCCTCAAATATTTTGCTTTCCTGTATGGAATGGCCAGCAGTGAGCAGCAGCTCTGCTTTGAGGGGCTGTCACTGCTGGCAGGGAGGGGGCACCACGCTCCAGCAGCTCCCCAGAGGGACAGGAGCAGCTGAGCTGCTGCTGCAGGAGCATTCCTGGGCTGGGTCGATGGCTGACAGCGTGCCAGAGATAATGTCCCTGTGCTCCAGGGTAATGGAGCGGGATGCTGGCACAGACTGAAAGCTTTCAGGCTGTTTGGGTGCTGAGCAGGGCCGTGGCTCCGCTGCGGGGATGTCAGTCCTGCAGGGACATCAGCCCTGTCTGTGCACTCAGCAAAGTGCCACTGGCCATTCTGAGCACTTCTTCCACTTTTCCAAGCTGTCTGATGCTTCCAGAGGTCACGCTGGGTGGGCTGCCAGCAGGGAGACAGGCAGAGGTTTGCTGTGGCAGGTGACTGCAGTGGCTGAGTTCAGGTCTCTGGGACGTGTTCCCTTGTTGGAAAATGAGGCTGGACTTGCTGACTCCATACCACTGAGGATATGAATTCCTGGTCTGACACACAGGCCACCCTGTCCCTGGCTGCTGTGGCCCTTCCCTGTCACCCAGGCAGGCCCTGGTGTCACAGCACTGAGTTCCCTTCTAAAGGGGGAACACTTTTCTGAGGTACAGAGAGTTTGTATGCAGGAAGAAATGGCTGAAGCAAAGGTAAAATCAGTTGCAGAATTACTGATATTAATAGTGAACTTAGTCACAGCATTTCAGCAGGTTCCCAGTCCTGTGGACTGCAGAAATCCCTGAGGGAATGAGGTTTGTGAGGCTCCTGTGCAGCCCAGCCCTTCTTTATAGCATGGCAGGTATTTGTTTGCTGGCTGTTCCCTGCTCCTCACCTGCCACATGAAGGTGGTGCTGTCCTTGGCTAGGATGTTTTCCATTGTGTGTGCTCGGAATTGCCCAATAATGCTGCTATTTCTGAAGCTGTTACTGAGGGATGGTGCCCAAAAAAAATCTATTGCTTTATAGGGGGAGTTGGAAGAGGGAATAAGCATTCAGGCATACGTTCCTTCCCAGCTGAGTAGAAGGAGAATAGAGGAAGCATTCTTCTCAGGGGGCAGGATTCACAGGGTTGGGAGTCCAAGCAGCTTCCATTTAAAGCAGGGAACAGATGCCAGCAGATGGGAGTTCAGTCAGGCCTCAGATTATTCTTAATATCCACGTTACAAAGTGATAGTGCTGCAAAATTGACCCTGGGAAGATAATCATGGAGTAGTTTGGGTTGGAAGACACCTGAAAAGGTCACCTAGTCCAATCCCCCAGGAAACAGTTGTACTGCACGTGATCCTGGAATCACTGAGGTTGGAAAAGCCCTCAAGGATCATTGTGTCCACCTGTCCCCCAGCATTGCCAAGGCCACCACTAGCTCTGTGCCACATCCACGAAGCTTTTAAATCCCCCCAGGGATGGTGACTCCTCTGTTGCCCTGGGCAGCCCCTTGCAATGCCTGACCACCCTTTTTGAGAATAAACTGGAGAGTGAGAAGGATCCCTCTGAGCCTCCTCTTGTCCAGGCTGAGCCCCCCAGCTCCTTCAGCCCTTGGCAGAGCTTGGGACAGCCTAGTCCAGTGGAAGGTGTCCCTGTGGAGGGATGGAACTGGATAATCTTTAAACATCCCCCATCCCAAACCTTTCTAGAATTCTGTGATCTCCAGCTGGAGCTGTCTGCTGCAGCTGCGGGATGTCTCTGTTGGAGCTGGACATTGCCAGCACGTGGTTCATGACTGGCCTCACCACCAGGCAGGGCCGATCCAGCTGAGTTTGAGTCGCAGCCCCAGGCGTTTGTCGTGGTCGTTCTTCCTCCTCCTCCTCCAAGTGGAGTCAGGGCTGCTTCCCGTGGGAGCCCTGGCTGCTCTCTCCCAGCTGTTGTGCAAGCGTTGGGATGCGCAGCCACGGCGCTCTGCGGATCCCGGCTGTGCCGTGCCAGCCTCGGCTGCGTGGGCTGTGCCAGGAGCCCTCATTGCCACAGCAGTGATGTGGAGATAATGAAAAACAAAAGCTTTCACCACCCAGGCAGGGAGGTGAAGGAATTGCTCACAGCAGGCCCTTGGAGAAGCCTGGGCCCTTCTCTCCCTGCATCTGCACACCAAGCTGGCTTCCCAGAAGGAATTCCAGGATGTTTGAGCCCCCAAGTCACAGTGTGGTTTTGTTACCTCCTGGCAAAGTACAGAGGAGCGAATGTGCCACCAGTGACTGTGACAGAAGTGCCCATTTCATCCCTGAAGCACTGACTTTATCAGCACATTTAGATAAGATCTGATCTGAATAAGAATGAAAATTTGGCTGTCGACCCACATGGTTCTGTGTGCAGCATTTTCCATAAGTGTTCACTCTGAAACCTAATGTTTTCCTCTCTCCAGGGAGTCAGTCTGGCAGCTGCCAAGGAGCGGGGACAGCTTGTCTTCCTGGAGGGCCTCAAGTCCTGCCTTGACCTCGTGTTTGGGGAGGAGGAGCAGCCAGGGCAGCCCAGTCCTCTGCAGTTTCTGAGGTGAGCCTGAGCATGGAGTGTTCCCCCTCACATCTGCTGCCACCAAGAGCATCACCTAAGGTCCAGGACTGGCTCCTGCTGCCCTTTGTGCTCCCCTCCAAGGCCCAAGGACTCGGCTGCACAGCATTGTGCGCATCCCCCTGAGTGTCCTGGCCTGTCCCTTGCTGTTCCTCATGGAGTGCTGCTCATGGAGGGATCCTGTCCCCCTTTCCAGAACTGTAGGGGAATTTCCACTCCCATCCTCATTGCCAAGCATGTCACAGGTCTAGAAAAACATTTATTTCAGCACTCCACAGGTATGTGTCAAACAAAACCCCAGCCAAGTGGTTTATTCCCTTCTTTTATTATTTTGAATTTTATTCTTATCCAAGAGAACAGTGCTGCTTTATCCATGCTGGCTTTTGGGTTTATTCTCACATCATTTTCTCCATGTCGCCTTGGGAAGCTCAGCAAAGGCCAAACACTTCCCCAGCAGTGCCCGGGGCCAGGTTGGACGGGGCTTGGAGCAGCCTGGGATAGTGGAAGGTGCCCCTGCCATGGCAGAGGGTGGGACTGGATGGGCTTCGAGTTTCCTTCCCACCCAAAGCATTCTGTGATCCCTGGAGCAGGGCAGGAGGCTTTCAGCACACACAGGTGTAAAGGGCAGCGAGGAGGTGACTGTCACAGCAGTGGGGACAGCAGGGAGGGGACAGGCTGGTGACCCCCACTCTGGGTCAGTGGGTGAGGAGGGGGACACGTGGTGCCAAGCCCCTGACACCTCCTTCATGTCCTGCAGCGGGAGCACCTCTGACCTCCGAGCCTTGTTTGAGTTTGTCCGGGTGTCCCTGGCTCCCAGTGCCGGTGATTCCTGGAAAGGCCCCGTGCTGCTGGTGGATGACCTCAGTGTCCTGCTGAGCCTGGGGGCTGCACCGGTGGCCGTGCTGGACTTCATCCACTACTGCCGCGTGTCCGTGTGCTGCCAGCTGAAGGTACTGCTCCCCCGGGGTTCTGGCTGTGCACAGAGCCTGCAGAGCAAAGCCTGCCTTTATTTCCTCTTCCTTCTGACCATGATGAGCTTTTGGAAAGGCTGTGGTTGTCCAAGGAGTTCAGGTCATTGCCCTGGGGCCACTCTTGGGACTTGTGTGGGTCCCTGAGAGCAGGCTCCTGTTCAGCTGCATTCCTGGGAGGTGCTGCCCAGAGTCTCTGATGTGTCTCTGATGTATGAACAGGGATTTGAGGTATAAAATAGTGTTTTTTGGAGCTCCTGGCTCTCCAGAGATCCTGACTCACACCCCTGAGTGGGAGGGCAGGGGTGGAAATGGGTCATATGAGGGGCTGGTGAGTCTCACAGGGGACAGAAATGGGGCCCCCCAGTCCAGCTCCCACCACCCTCCAGTGTGTGGTCCCCAGGGTGGGGGTGATGGTCTGCAGCGATCTCCCAGCGATGTGGGGACTCCTGGGAGCACCACAGCCAGAAGTGCTGACAGTCACACCCAAACTGCCATCACAGGGGGTGTCCCCTCCCTGGGCACTTCCCTGCAGGAGCGAGGAATGAGCTGATGCTGTTGGGTGTTGTCACCCCGCACTTCACATGGCGTGGGGTGTTGGGCTGTATGTGCTGACAGGGGATGATCTGCTTGCAGAGAATATTTACCTCCAAAGAGCTAAAAAAGATGGCAAACCACACTAACACTTTGCTATTTCTGTCTGAGGTGTTCTGATGCTTTAAAGTACATTTTAATTGATTGAGAATTTGTGTTATTTTAAGTCACTGGTGACTTGTATGGGCTGAGGCAGAGTCTCTTGAGGTGGATGTTAATAGAGTCAGTGAGTCGGGGAGGTGTTTGCTCCCTGTCAGAGGTGTGAGGGTGTGAGCATAGCTGCAGCCCTTTGGCCACCTCTTTATTTACCAGCTCTGAATTCAGTCAGTGCCATCTGCCCAGCCTGACAGACTGGTTCAGCCACTGTCTCCCTACAAAGGCTGGAGGTATTTTTAGACTGCACATTTCATATATGTGTGTGTGTGTGTACACAATGTGCAGTGAGCTCTTCAGTGTTTATGTATCATGGAATGGCCTGTGTTGGAAGGCACCCTAAAGATCACGTCTGCTGTGGGCAGGGGCACCTCTGATTTGGGCCCCAGAGCTGGAGGCAGCTCTGCAGGGTGGTCTCACCTGAGTGGGGAAGAATCCCCCCCTCCCCTGCTGCCCATGCTGGGGATCAGCCAGAGGATGGGGGGATTCTGGCTGGGGCATGCCCAGCCTCTCCATGGGTTATTTTCCCAGTGGAATTCAGACCAAGCTGGAGCTTAGATGGGATGTTTGTGAAAGCTCACCCACCCCCCCTGTCCTTCCCCTAAGGGATTAGGCCCAGCCAGGGGCTCATCCCTGCCTGCTGCTCCCGTTCCAGGGGAACATCGTGGTGCTGGTTCACAGCAACGAGGATTCAGAAGACGAGGAGAATGAACTGCTTGTGAACTCCCTGTGTCATCACAGCGACCTCATCCTGTGGGCAGAGGGGCTGGCCACCGGCTTCTGCAAGGATGTTCACGGGCAGGTGAGGCGCAGCAGAGCGTGGACAGGTGGCACGTGTCCCTGTCACCTCCAGCACTCCCCGGGGCTGTGGGAGACAGCCCAGGCTGCAGTGTGGTTAAGGAGTAATCCCGTGGGCACCAGGATCTGCTGGAGCACCCAGCTGTCACTCGCCCTCTGCGGGGATATTCAGGCACGTCCTGCCACCTGGGACTCCCCGCCTCTGAAGCTTTCCAGGGTTTATACAGTGCAGGCTTCTCCCACCCCAGGCTGAGGGAGAACTTTCCTGGGAAGTTTCCACAAACAGTGGATCTGAGCCTGGCCTGTGGTGATCTCTGCAGGGCTGGGAGGGTGCTGGCACTTGTGTGATCCCTCATCAGGGGCTGCCACCGAGGGCACAGGGACAGGCAGCTGCTGATGCATTATTTATGAGTGACCCCCCCTTCCCTGCAGGCCAGCCAGAGGCTTCATGGGCAGCCAGAGGAACAGTGTTCCTATTCCTTTTCCTTTGCAGATTAAGATAAGCAAGAGATTGTCCTTGCGGCAGGCGGGGGAGCAGGACCTGGTCCAGATCTACCAGTACAAGATCCAGGACAGGAACGTCACCTTTTTCGCACGGGGGCTGTCGGCTGCGGTCCTGTGACACTGCGGTCCTGTGACACTGCGGTCCTGTGGCACTGCCATCCTGTGGCACTGCCATCCTGTGACACTGAGGCCCCGTGGCACTGCCATCCCGTGGCACTGCCATCCCGTGGCACTGTGGTCCTGTGGCACTGCGGTCCTGTGGCACTGCGGTCCTGTGGCACTGCGGTCCTGTGGCACTGCCATCCTGTGGCACTGCCGCCCTGTGACAATGCCATCCTGTGGCACTGCTGTCCTGTGGCACTGCCGTCCTGTGACAATGCCATCCTGTGACACTGTGGCAGCTCAGAGCCCGGGAATGGCAGTCCCTGCCTCTGCAGAGCACCAGCAGCACCTCTCAGCAGCAGCACAGCAAACTGACCCGGCTGGGAAGCTCACACTCACCTGGAGCGGTGCCAAGGTGGGATCAGCCTGCCTGGAGCCTGCTGCATCCCTTTGTCCTCCCACCCCGTTCCCAACACACTCAGGCCAAGAACGGGAGCAAGAACTTGCAGGAATGGCCCTTAGAGCGTGTAAATACAGGCGGGAGGTGCCCCGCGGGCTGGGCGTGCCCGGCCTCACCTTTTCCGCTGTGTTGGGCACGGCAGTGCCAGGCGCTGCACGCCTGGGGAGCGGGGAGATGACACACAGCGGGTGGAGCAGGGAGCCTGGCGCAATCCTGGCCCTGCTCCCAGCTCTGGCTGGCAGAGATTGGCCAGCTGCCAGCAGTTGGTAAATGCATGGCTCCGTGTACAGCCCCTGGCCTGGCTGTGCTGAGAGCTGGGCGCTGCCCTGGTTCATCCCCTCAGGCTGCCCGAGCTCATCCTGGCCTTTGTGCTTGGGTAAACCCCTCTGGGAGCCCGTCTCAGCCACTGCTTCCTCACCCCAAACCCTGACCAGCAGCTACATGACCTGCCTGTGCTGAAGCGTTTTTTTAAAATAATAATCTGTAATTTTAGCGAGATAAGGGTACTGTGATTAAGTAACTGCAGATCTCGGGGTGGGAACTGCTCCCTGCCTGCTCCTTGGCAGGGATCAGGAATGGGCATCTCCCAAGCCTGGAGGAGGAGAGCCCTTCCTCATGGCTGTCCTGGGAGCAGGGATTTCCAGGTCTCCTGGTCCACGCTCCTGCTGGGATATCCCATTTATCCTGGGAGATAAAAACATCCCATGTGCTTGTGAGAGTCCAGAGCAACCTGCCAGGTCCTTGCAGCTCCAGAGCTGGGATAGCAGCCCTGGCAGTGGCACACATTCCTGATGCTCCGTGTAGGCTCAGTGACCACCCCGTGCTGGTCTGGGGACATTCCTTTGAGTCAGAGTTTTGGGAGCCCTGGCATGCTCAGGGCTGTGGCTGCTGATCAGTGGCAGCCCAGGGAAGCCAGGCAGGCTCCAGGGGTTGTGGAGGGACTCAGGCCATGGGTGTGCTACAGGACCACTCATCCCTGGTGTCCCCTGGGTGGAAGTGGCAGTGCCCAGTGGCAGTGCTGCTGTCCCAGGGGTGGTGGCAGTGCCCAGGGGTCAGTGCACTGTCACAGAGTGCAAAGGGAGGATGAGAGGACTGGGAGCTGCTGGCACTGCAGCTGTGACGGGCACAGAGTGGTGTATAATTGGAGTAATATCTGTGTGATTGTCCTTGGAGACATCCCAAAGCCTGGCTCCTGGGCTCTGCCTCCCTCTCTGGGAACAGGCGGGGTCACTGTGTGACACCATCCCTGTGTGACATCACTGTGTGACAGTATCACTGTGTGACATCACTGTGTGACACCATCCTTGTGTGACAGTATCACTGTGTGACAGTATCACTGTGTGACAGTATCAATGTGTGACAGTATCAATGTGTGACAGTATCACTGTGTGACACCATGGCTGTGTGACAGTATCACTGTGTGACAGTATCAATGTGTGACATCACTGTGTGACACCATCCTTGTGTGACAGTATCACTGTGTGACACCATGGCTGTGTGACACCATGGCTGTGTGACACCATCACTGTGTGACACCATCAATGTGTGACAGTATCAATGTGTGACACCATCACTGTGTGACACCATGGCTGTGTGACACCATCAATGTGTGACAGTATCACTGTGTGACACCATGGCTGTGTGACAGTATCACTGTGTGACAGTATCAATGTGTGACAGTATCAATGTGTGACACCATGGCTGTGTGACAGTATCACTGTGTGACACCATCGTTGTGTGACACCATCGTTGTGTGACACCATCAATGTGTGACACCATCAATGTGTGACAGTATCAACGTGTGACACCATGGCTGTGTGACACCATCAGTGTGTGACAGTATCAACGTGTGACACCATGGCTGTGTGACACCATCAATGTGTGACACCATCCTTGTGTGACAGTATCAATGTGTGACACCATCACTGTGTGACACCATGGCTGTGTGACACCATCAATGTGTGACAGTATCACTGTGTGACACCACGGCTGTGACACCATCCTTGTGTGACAGTATCACTGTGTGACAGTATCACTGTGTGACAGTATCAATGTGTGACAGTATCAATGTGTGACAGTATCACTGTGTGACACCATGGCTGTGTGACAGTATCACTGTGTGACAGTATCAATGTGTGACATCACTGTGTGACACCATCCTTGTGTGACAGTATCACTGTGTGACACCATCAGTGTGTGACACCATGGCTGTGTGACAGTATCAATGTGTGACAGTATCAATGTGTGACATCACTGTGTGACAGTATCAATGTGTGACAGTATCACTGTGTGACACCATGGCTGTGTGACAGTATCACTGTGTGACAGTATCAATGTGTGACATCACTGTGTGACACCATCCTTGTGTGACAGTATCACTGTGTGACACCATGGCTGTGTGACACCATGGCTGTGTGACAGTATCACTGTGTGACACCATCAATGTGTGACAGTATCACTGTGTGACACCATCAATGTGTGACACCATGGCTGTGTGACACCATGGCTGTGTGACAGTATCACTGTGTGACACCATGGCTGTGTGACACCATGGCTGTGTGACA